TCTTTTGGAATAGTCCAAACAAACCAATTGTTGTTTCAACAAATATGATTATTCTCTTTAATCTAAACGATATTATTGTTTCATTCAAACAGCATTATCGTTTGATAAAAAATATGTGAAACAAATGTATATGCATACATCTTTCTCCCTCTACATTAGAATTTTCCCTTCATTAAAAGAAGAAAGATAAACACTGAATTAGTACACTCTGTTCAGCCATAATAAAAAATAGACCATTAAATGATTAAACTGCGTCTGCTGATGCGGTCGCTTATATGTATATCATAGCTGCCGCGATTTTACTTACGAGTTCGGCGGCCATCTAGCACCAAACTTTATAAGCGCCTGGCCAAATAATATAATTATTTCATTGAAAGATATTACTTCAAATAATAGTGTTTTTTCTATCAAATAATACAGGTTGTTTGAATAAAACAACAAAATTCTTATTCAAAACATATAATGTTTCGTATAAGCATATATTGTTTTAATGAAACAAATTTCAACCAAATAAATAGGAATACTAAATCCAAAGAAACCTTTCTCTCTGTGTACTATCGAGTCCGACCTTTGTCAAAGATGTCAAAGGTGTTCATTAATTACCTTGAGAAAAATGGATGAGCTTTTGAAAGACATTGGAAAAAAGCTCAATGCTGGGTTTTCCCCGGTGAAGGAGAGAAACCGAAAATTCGAGATAGAGATATGTAGTTCATTTGCTACTGCTTTTTCACTCTAACATTTATAGCGACTCTTGCAGTCGCCACATCTTCAGAAAGGATTTCTGTTACCGAGACAAAAAATATTTTTGACGCATTTATATTTCTCACAACCTTATTTAGTATAAAAATAAGACAATATCAAAATAAAATCGATAATTCTTATTCTTCTCTATCGAATTGAAAAAGATTAACATACTATATTGAGACAAGAGTAACTTATATAAATGTAAGTTTATATATTCTTGCGTTTAGAATAAATTTCCTCTTTATCTTACAACGCACGAAATTGGCACCGCGATATTCGACAAAAAACGATACATACTATTATTTTATTCTAGATTTTAGAATTTTTCATTTAAGATTAAAATATTCCTTTCTCTATAATAAATATGATTGGCGCTATATCGATTCTATTTTATACATTAAAGTGTAATAGCATTGGATCCAGAAATTTTTTCTGTGGGTGCATATTTCTTATCTAGTATAATATATGTCGTTGGGAAGTACCCATTCCCATACAGACTAAAGAAGTGAGAGGAAACAGTAAACACTCAGGAACATTTTTGGTTAAATTTGCACTTTACAAACGGGGCAATTATTATAATATTACGCGTTGAATTTTTCCTGTGAACACGGACACGCGCGCGCGCAAAGTATAGTGCCTGTGAAACGTGGAGGTTCATATGAAATTAAGTCTCGTAAAAATATCCCACGCTTTAAATCGGTAGCCGGAGTGAATTTCTCGAGTGTTCTCCAACACGCGCGGTCGATGCGAAAGGGATTTTGACCGCGACGTCGTTCGCGAGGTGATACTGCGCGAATGCCGCGTAACGACGACGTTGAAGCTCCTCGTTATAAGAAACGAAAGCAAAGGGAGCAAACCGTCATTAAAGCGCCGGCGAGAGAGCAACCTAACGATGTAGCTACCCGGACTTCTCTCGAATGGAAATTCGCTTGAATAATGCATTTTTTTACCGCTCTATCTCTGCATTCGTGACGGTTCCGACCGACGCTCAATATCTCTCGATTTCCCTTGGATAAGTATCTTATCAAGCGCGAAAAATGCGCTCTGTCTTTCTGTTTATTTTAGAAAAGTCATTACTCTGTCTTCTCTCTCTCTTCCCCCCCCCCCCCTCTCTCTCTCTCTCTCTACGTATATAGAATGAAGATTTTCTATATACGTAACGACGACGACTGTATACGTAACGATATTCCTCAATATTTATAAATGAAGACTTTTATTGAAGTAGAAAAATCGATCTTTCGAACATAATTTCGACAATTCTCTAGGATAATGTTACTTATCCAATTCCATGTTTTGTAGAAATTATTTTACACGAAATTTCCACCTGACGTAAATTGTTATTTCGGGACAAAATACAATAGTGAGTTTCAACGATCTTTCTGCCTACAATTAACACGCATGAAATGGATTATTCAATTAATAAAACATCCAGTAAGCTTTAAAACCTGATAAAGGAAGTGACGGAACGAGTTTTCTCCGCGAGAAAGTATTATAAAATTATAACAAAAATATTACTACGCATTATTTCCACATATCTCTCTTTTTAACGAAGAAATTTACCTTAAAATTCTAATCTCGTCCTCTCACTGATTTATGAAACGCGCAAGTTATGAGTACGATAACTCATATTTTAGGATAACTCATAATAAACAACCACGATCATTGATTATTAGGAAAATGCCAAACGGAAACATACGCAATGTAGCGACGAATTTGCATGTACATTATTTCGCTACTAGGAAGAATTATTTCCAAGACGCGCGCACGCATACACACACACGCGCGTGCACAATGCACATATCTTAACGTCTATTATTCTTTTTTGGCACACTCGCGAAAGCCACGTAGAAACATTTGTTCGCGCCCATTGCGTTATCGGAAAAACTGCGGACCGTTGGAAACGAAATCCGAGGAAAAGTGACGCCGCACTCCAAGAATGAGTGGCTCCCACTTTGTGATCGAATCTCAAGAATTATTTTTGAGGATTATCGCGGGTGCAAATTAGAGTACGCTCCCGACCGTCGCCATTTTGTGCGACGTTTGAAACACGTGGTGCGCACTACTGCGAGAAATTGATCTTCGTAGAATAATTAGATGAAAATTATTTACAATTAATATGCGTTAAAAAATTTTTCTCAAATTTTCTAGTCATCACATCAAGCGAAGTTTCTCACCTCGTTGTTGTTATATGAGAGAATAACACGTATCTTTTGCTACTCTCACCGTTCCAATCCAAGTAAATAAATAAATTAAATTTTTTGTAACGTGAGCAGCATTTCGAAAAATTCATGTATGTTCGAATATTCTGGAAAACAAATCGTTTTTACAGCCGGTCGTATGTACATATAATAATTGAATCGTGACCTCCTATTTTAAATAGATATGAGTTCGCGGAGATACGTAACGTGACAGTGCAGGCTCTTCGAGTGTAAGTTTTCTTTTTGCCGATTTATAATTTCGAAATTCGTCACGTGCCCGCAAAGTTTTGTGGGAAATTAAAAAAAAATTCGTAGTGCCTCAATTCTACGGATTATATGGGACGTGTCCATAGAGACGGTTCTATTTCATCTGGGAAAAATGTAATTCGGCTTGAAAGCTTCGGACGTGATTTCGAAATAAAGTCACGACCGCCAATATTGCAAGACAAATAATTGCGCCTGCAAAATTCCGATCTCTACGGAGCCAATGGCACACCCCGTTATCCAGGGCGAGTTATGCACGAAGCGTAAAAAGCTGTATGAAATTTTTACAGCATTGCCCGACACGTCGGTATAACAGCTAGGTAGGAAAACATTATTTCGCGTCATTTTAGAAATAATAAATAATTACAATACATAAATATTCGCGATGTCAGATATATTTCATAGTTCATGATATAAAATTTTCTAGTGACGATATTTAATGGCAAGTGCTATCTATTAGCGAAGATAGATGGCGAACATAGGTAGATAGGGTGGCGTCCTAGAATTGCGAGGACGGTGTGACAACTTTGGAGCATTCTGTGCGTAACACGAGGACAGGACGGGCAAACGCCCATATATTTCGACCGGATTATCGGCAGTGCCGGGGTATCGGGTGTTACTTCGGCATTCCCGCCGGCGACATTAACGATGACGATGAATTGCGATTATGGCGGGCGTGGAGCTCGAACTCCGCGTAGTCAGCCGCGTAGCGGAGTTAAGTTAATTCAGCCGGGTATGCTGATAGCGCGACTACTTTATGCTGTCGTTTGTGCAATTCGCGATATTGCTGCATCGATTTTGCATGCACGCACGTAGGTCGCGCATGCCTAGTCCCCACCCCCCGTCGGTCGCGCACGTGAACCCTTAATGCCACTCTTGACGTATTAAGTTCCATCCTTAAGAACGACGTGCGTACACACGCGCGATAACATCGAGGAATTACGAGTTTCCTTCCCTCAATTTTCATCAAGAATGTGACGTCAAATTTTTTTCGGAAAATATTGTGCATTAAAATAAATACGCCACTTGTTTAATTTTACAAATAATTACGTATTTCAACTTTTGTTAATTTGCTGACAAATTATTGTACATGCAATTTATATATACAGAGTGTACCTGCATTGGTGACAAATATTTTAATGACAAGTACTTTGTAACATTTTAAGATGAAAATTCTAATACGAAAATATTGAGGCTAGAATTTCGCGCGCAGTTCGACATTTTCACATTAGAAATTTCGTCTTAAAATGTTACAATATTTTTTACCAGTTTAGGCACACCCTGTATAATATTAGCAACCTTTATAATTTCTCAACTATTTTAGAATTTAATTACAAGTAAATTTTAATTTAATTTAATTTTAATTAGTCTTCGTACATACTTCATTATTTAGTGACAAAGTTGTAAGGATTTTCCAGACTTAAGAAGCACAATATACTGTATATTCGTTTAGATACAAATATAATATTTGTTAATTTTAGAAATTCAAAGTCCTTAAAATTTTCAAAATTCTTAGAACTTTCTCAACAAATAATCAAATCAATAGGAAGACAAATCAAGATTAAGTAAGAATTTAATTAACATGTAATGAAGTTTTAAAATAAAGTCTAAAATTAGTCTAAAGAAGTCTAAAAATTAAATGCTGCTAAACAAACTGCACAAAGCTGTCTACTCGTTCATTTCTATACAATAATTATAGCTATAAGTTATTATATTGCGTTAATAAAATACAAATTTTTATTTTTGCGTTACACACAAATATGCATGTAAAATGAAAATTCTTTCTATTTGCAGACAGCAGTCCTCTTTCAGACACACTGGATCTGAGCCCGCCTCCACTTCCTCCTCATCAATATCATCATAACAACAACAATTCGAACGGCATCGCTAGCTCCACCACGTCTGGTGGTTTGCAGGAGATCGTGATGAAAGAGAAAAGCAAAAACGCAGCGCGGTCGCGCCGCGTTAAGGAGAATCAGGAGTTTTTGGAACTGGCGAAGCTACTACCACTTCCGGCCGCCATTACTACGCAACTGGACAAGGCCAGCATCATCAGACTAACCACCAGTTATCTCAAGATGAGAGCCGTCTTTCCTCATGGTAACGAATATACCCATTTGGAAAATCTTACTTTTATTTGTTGTAATTCGGTCTTTTATATTAATCGCATATATAACAATACATTTATCGGCGTATGATAATGCCAGCTGCTTATCGAAATCAATCTAAAACCGGCAGAACGATTACGCTTCATCCAAATTGCAGTAATTGAGCGTAGCCGCGGATCAACGCCTTTTTTTTATCTTCACCAGTTGTTATAGGGCTGGTATGAATTTAGCAACCGGACTCTTACGCGCAAAGGGCAAATAGTATCGGATGAGATGGATGTGATTGCGCACTTAATGCATTGTTAGTCCCCAACGCTTTGTAAGCAAAGCATGGGGGCCGTTATAGTGTTACAATGGCCTCCCCCAGTTCGATTCCCCCTCTCGCGGCATCGGCGAATTGAATTTCAAGTGGCTGCATCCCTCTAGAACGGCCGTCCCCGTCTTTATTCTCGGGGAAAAAGAGACGCGGCGTCCTCACGGCGACGCTTTTAAGGGCGCGTTTCGTCGAAAAGCGAGCGTGAAATTTCTCGAGAGGCTCATCGCCGTCGATTATTCTCGCAAGATTAACCCTTTACAATCCAAAACAACCGTCGGGAATCGATCAATGTTAAATGAGACGCTATATGGTTTACCAATTGTGGTTTACTATGACAATTTCTCCACCAATAATCTTTGAAAATAATATCGACGTTACATCAGATCTCGATAAATCCATTTTTGACGATTCCTCGCGTTCTATCTTGCGCCCTATGTTTGTTACATTGAATTCCGAATGATGTAATCTGGATGTAACACGGCGATAGCGGGGGATTTTGAACCGAGACTATTTCTTTCTTCGAGATGGATCGAGCTGTCTATCAAACGTACGCTATTGTACCTTGACATAATAAAGATCGTAAAATCTGACACGTGTCGTGTATTGAAACAGCATGATCGACGATTCTTCCAAGGAATATCAAACTCGAAAGAAATATGCGCTAGGGCACACGAGGTCTGAAACGTCGTACTCGACTATGAACACGTACATATGTAGCACGTGATGCGAGCGACTAAACTGAAGTCTACTTGCGTACAAGAGAATAATTTGTTATCAATTAGGTATCAGTTCCTTATTTTGTTGCGTATTTTTATACGTTTCGATAATTTCAAAGTAATTTTCTTTACTTTGTGTATCTCTTAATCTCTTGATTTCCGACAGTGCTTGCCAACGCAATTTCACTGTCGGAAATCGAAGAAGGCGAATTCAACAGATGCTTGTTCTTTGCTAAATCTCACTAGGAGAATAACCCTACTGCGCGCCATAATTAATGCGCAGATACGTGATTGTAGATGCGATTATCTATAGTGCATTGAAACATCGCCATGATAACATATTCATATCAGATTGAAGACAAGAATAAGATCAGGTTCAGGCTAGCGTTTGTATTCTTTTTTTTCTTTTTTTGTATAAATATTGAAAATTTTCAGATTTCATATTTTAAGTTAAAAGGTCTGTATGTACAAAAAAAAATCTTCCTTTACGGAACGTCAATTACTTGTGGAAATGTCAGTTATTGTTACAGCAATTTGAAAAGTGTAAATTCAGCAAAAGTTGTCTCACACACGATGTGTATTGCGGCAAACGCAAGACATTTTACCGAGAGAAAGTGTACACCTTCAAACAGATGTGTGCTCACACTCGATATTAAAGGCAGAGGATTGATTCAATGATTGATTAATTTTTCAGGTCTCGGAGACGAGTGGGGTGCCGTACCGCCGCCCAACAATCCCTTAGAGGCCGCCATCAAGGAACTCGGTTCACATCTTTTGCAAGTGAGTGATCGTTCATACTTTCATTGATTTATGAGGCAAATGTAGATTTAGAGTACAATTTTCTACAAGCGGAAAATTTGCAAATTTAATTACGGCTCAAAAACACTCACGTGAGTCGTAGGTTGACACTGTGATAACGGACTATTTCTGACTGCAGACACTGGACGGCTTTATCTTCGTTGTGGCACCGGACGGGAAAATTATGTACATAAGCGAGACAGCTAGCGTACACTTAGGTTTGTCACAGGTGGGAGATATCCCCTCTTTTATTAGAAATAATTCAATTTTAATAATCGAATTTCTCGCGCACAATTGCGTTGTTATATGTTGTGTGTGTCATATTATCAGAGCGTGTGCATGTTACGTTGCCACGCCAGGCAATGGAAGTCCGCGTTTATTCGGAAACTATTGACGGAGGCCGTTCATATGTGCAGGTGGAATTAACGGGAAACAGCATCTACGAGTACATTTATCCGGAAGATCGCAACGAGATGGTTTCCGTGCTGAATCTTCCGCAGAGCCCTGCGGATCTCGCGGGCTTCACATTCCCGCCACCGAATTCGCGAGGTGAGATAGAATTGGAACGTGCCTTTCTCCTCAGAATGAAGTGCATCCTGGCGAAAAGGAACGCGGGTCTTGTCACGGAAGGATACAAGGTAATTAAGAAAAAGTAAAGATAAATCTGATTAATAGTTTCGACAGTGTAACATACTGGCTGAAATTGATCCTTGCCGCCGCGTATATATAATATAATAAACGCGTCAATATGCTCGAAACGTTCTCGGGGATAGCACACATTTCTTCCAATGATTGTGTTACTATTACGCGAGTACATTTTGACGCTCGATCAAAAATTTTCTTAAGGATAACACGTCACTCACGATTGAAATAAGTTTTGAATTGCACGTATATTATAACTTTAGTATTATAATTTTATTAATTAATATTGTAATAAAGATAAAAACGTATCGAGCAAAAGTAGGAAATGTTCCGCGATCAAATAAAAAAAAATCTTTCCGCCACTCGCTTTCACGAACAAGCTGCAAATATGTGTGCGGCAAGGATCAATTTTCAGCCAGTATGTTACACTGTCGAAACTATTAATCAGATTTATGCAATCCGCCGTGTAAATGCGAGAAATCGCGTACGGACGCTAATCCCGATTTATGAACGGCCTTAATTTTCCGCAATCGAGTAAAACTGCTCGTATTAACCACCCCGGGGTGGATATCGCTAAACTTTCGACATATGCTCGGGCAATAACGACGTCGCTATTGTTCTGGGACGGAGGGAGGTGACGAGAGAAGGTGAAGGGACCTGCGATATACCTTGCACTTGCTAACCGAGGAAGGCAGTCCTCGCGGAGGAAAATGTTCGACAAATAGCTCGTTCAAGCCGTAGCACGACGGATGACGGTAACCCTCGACGAAATCGCGCATAAAGATCCCCAATGACGACGAGCGTAGTCATGAATGCAACCCCTGCGAGCTGTTAGATCAACCGAGAGAGTTTTGGGCGCTTGCTGTAGGGCGAACTTATCCCTATGGTACTTACACGCACAAAGGCGGATTGTAGTTGGCTTTTCTTTTATCGACGCGCGAGCGGAAATATCCGGATTAACGATTGCGTGAAATTCGAGTGAGAACGAGGAGAGAACCTGCCCCCAGTGTCATCTGAGAGCGATATCGATACCTCTTGAGAAATATTATTAAGTCTCGTTAAATTAGCCTTGATTTTACGATGCAATCCGCCCGTGTCTGTCCCCGCCTTAAAAGCACAATTTAAAGTAAATTTGAGTGCATCGCGGATGCGTAATTCGTTGCACACGCATCATTTTGACATTTTAATAAGCCTGTCGAGACTCAGCTCGCTTTGTTCGGTCAGACGCGCGTGAGTCCGCTACCGGGGTGAGATTAAAAGCAGTCGACCGCCCTCGTGTCGAACTCCACTCTTCTTTAACTCCCTTCGAGTCCCTCTCGCGCCGCGACGCACGCCGATGCACCGGAATTGCATATGAGGTGATGTATGCAACGCGGGCATAATAAGGGGCCTATTTGCTTCACAAATTCGCCCGGCACTCGAGACCGGAGCGTGACGTTCGGTGAGGCTTTTTTCGCATCGCCTCAGCAGTCATTCAATTAAGCAGGAATTGTTAATTTGCCGTGTTGTTCCGCGCGAACGTCCGTACTTCAGCCGCGAGGGAATCTTACTCGAGTATCACACTTTACGCGTTCGGTCAAGGAATAACGTGAATGCATCTCGAATCGCGAGTGCGCATGCAATGACGACGTGTTACGCACTACACGAATTTATTAGGACGGCAAGTGAAAAGAGAATATTAACAAAGTAATAAAATGTATTCCTTTCTAAAGATTTTCTTAAATAAATGTCACTGGTGCGAGCACCAGTTTCTCTAGTCCCACCCCTTCTCAAGATGATTTTAATCAGTATTAAAAAGTATTGAAATGGAATTCTAGTTGAACGTAAATTTAGGGTTTTTTATGAGGAATATTGTTATTTTTATCACTTCTATAATAATAATAATTTTATACGTAAATAATTCAAGAATAGAAGCTTTTTCAAATAAAAATGAGAATCGTGTAAAAAGTTATCAGATGTGAAAATTTCACGTGTTGTCAAATTTGGGAGATATATAATCTAATTTGGAAGATGTAGAATTAGAAATTTCGTGAAAAAGGCGTAACATGGGCGATCTTTTCGTTTCGATGTTTCAGGTCATACACTGTTCCGGCTATTTAAAATGCATCGTGGAGGCTCCCATCGGCTCGGAATATGAGGACGGTGTTGGACGGTGCATCCGTAACGTCGGTCTAATGGCAGTCGGCCACTCACTGCCGACAAGTTCCATAACCGAGATTAAATTGCATCAAAACATGTTCATGTTTCGGGCTTCACTCGACCTGAAGCTCATATTCCTCGATGCAAGGTAAGATTTTGCTTATGTATGTATATATTTAGACCTATATTTTGTAGATATAAATATTTATGAAATTTCCCACGTCTATTTTTAACAAAGTCGCCATCACGTTTTCTTCTGTACTAGAAACGATAAAACGCGCGCTTCGCGCGCGCAGTTTGTGGTCGAGCATTGTATATTTTTAAGAATTTGTATACATGCGAAGAAGTAATTGTATGCGCAACGTCAATTTAAAATAAAAAGTAATTTGTCACTCACTGATACGGTTCGCAACAGCAAAGTTGTACATCGCTAACTATATAGGTTAAACTGTAACAATACAAAAATGTATACGATTAATTATTATAGACTAATTATGTAAAATCCAGACTATTGTATTAAATATACTTTATATTTAATATTTTTGAAAATAGGTATTTATTAAAATAATTATATAGAATACTGAAAGTCTTCCTTTTAAATATGAACTCACAAAATTTTATACGTATGGTTTTGTCTCTAACACTTATTCGAATCCACGTTCGAATCATTAGAATAAATAAAATAAAAGCACAGAACAGATGCTTTATTTTGCACAAGTAGCAAATAACAAAGGTTTAAGACACTTACCTTACGATTTCTCTGCCGTTGCCCGATGCCGCCTAAGCCTGCTCCTCCTCTTACATTTTCTTGATGCACTTACACTCACACACTCGCAAAAATCGATCGCGCGAAATTTCGGACACTCCCGTACGCGATGTAAAATATCGTGAAATGCAGTAAGCGACGTTCTTTACTTCCTGCCCGTTCGAGTTGCGAAGAACGACAGAACGAATTACAGCGCGAACGCCGAAGTCGCACAAATATCTCTCTCTCTTCCCGAAAATGGAACAGATTACACGAAATCGATAGATAGTTAAAAGTGCGGTGTGTAAACGAAATGTAACCGCGACAACGTACCACGGTTTACTTTCATATTTTAGATGAGTTAGTCTCGTAAAATATCCATGTACACGTTAATTAATAAAGAGCCGTCGCCTCAACGCGCAATTCGTTTCTCATTACAAGTTGTAGAAACTTAATAATTAATCTAGTAGCGTTACTTGTCACTGATAAAGGAGTCCAAATCAATAGCGTTTTATCCTTACATTCTTCACGATCGAGTCTTGGAAACCGACAACGCAAAAATAATATCACGCACGGAGCGACTCGCGCCACTGTTTGCCGGCTCGACATTCGGCGAGCGAGTGAGAGCGCGGCGACCTTTAGGTACAATGATGGTACGCAAAAACATCCTACGTCATCGCGCCGAGTGAAAAACAACAAAAAAACGTTGAGAATTCGTTGGCCCGCTTAATCGTCGTACAATACCGCGCCGAGTGAAAAACAACAAAAAAACGTTCGTTTTTGTGTTGAGAATTCGTTGGCTCATCTACGTAATGGAAAATTCCGTACTTATCACTCGCTCGCCGAACGTCGAGCTGGCAGACAGCAGCGAGAGTTGTTCCGTGCGTGATATTATTTTTACGTTACCGGTTTCCAAGACTCAATCGCGAAGAATGTAGGGATAAAACACTATTGATTTGTACACCTTTATCAGTGACAAGTAACGTTACTCGATTAATTATTAAGATTCTAAAACTTGTAATGAGAAACGAATTGCATGTTGAAGCGACGGCTCTTTATCAACGTGTATATAGATATTTCACGAGACCAACTCATCTAAAACATGAATGTAAACCGTGGTACTTTGTCGCGGTTACATCTCGTTTACGCGCTTTTAACTATCTATCGATTTCGTGTAATCTGTTTCATTTTCGGGGAGAGAAATCTGTGCGACTTCGACGTTCACGGCGTAATTTGCTCTGTCGTTCTTCGCAATTCGAACGGGCAGGAGGTAAAGAACGTCGCTTACTGCATTTCACGGTATTTTACATCGCGTACGGGAGTGTCCGAAATTTCGCGCGATCGATTTTCGCGAGTGTTGTGTCAGTGCAACAAGAAAATCTGAGAGGAGGAGCAGGCTTAGGCGGCATCGGGCAACAGCAGAGAAATCGTAAGGTAAGTGTCTTACATTTTTGTTATTTGCTACTTGTGCAAAGTGAATCATCTGTTCTGTGCTTTTATTTTATTTATTCAAATGATTCAAACGAGCATTCGAATAAGTGTTAGAGACAAAACCATACGTATAAAATTTTGTGAGTTCATATTTAAAAGGAAGACTTTCAGTATTCTACATAATTGTTTTAATAAATACCCATTTTTTTTAAATATAAAATAGAAAGTATATTTAATACAATAGTTTCGATTTTGCATAATTAGTCTATAATAATCGTATACATTTTTGTATTGTTACAGTTTAACATATATATTTAGTGATGTACAACTTTGCTGTTGAACAACAACTTTGATGTACAACTTTGTTGTTTAAGTCGATCGCTCTTGCACGGACTACGCGCCATCCCTCTTGTTTCTCTGTCATTAGTCGCAAGAGAAATAAATAGAAACTAGGAAATTATTTGCCTCTAAACGTGAAAGTCCCTCATTTAAAACAAATACTAAGAGAATTGCGTTTAAAATTATGTGTTTAGCACAGAGACACAGTTTAGCACAGTGTAAAACTAAAATTAATCAAATACAAAAACATTATTATATCTAGGTTTGTGTGTAAGTTTATATAGTCTCGGCAAGAGCAAACTATATCTTAAGCAAAACTTTTTCCTGAGGCCGGATCTCCTTGCGCTGCTAGAGGAAGCGAGCAGTGTTGACTCGAGCACCGGGACACAGTGGATTATTTATTTCCAATGTAATTATAGTTGGGTGTCGTATTGCGCCATTAATATTTCGATGGAGAGCCCGCGCAGTGCCCCCGGTTGAGAGGGATACGGCCATTAAAATCAGTTTCGTGTTACCGCGCTCTCTGCCGCGTATCCTCTTTTTTTTTCCTCTCCATCCACGGCAAATAAATATCCACCACCGGCGGTCCCGGCGAGCCCTACGCACCCGCTCGCTCGCACTGGGAACGAACACGTGACGTAGTATAAATATAACGCCGATAGAAGCGCGCGATGAAATTTTATACATACCGTCGATCGGAATCGGCTCGCGCGGATTGTGCAAACTCGCGACGCTCGCACCGTAAATCCCGGCGAAAACAAGCCCCGATCCGCGGAAAGCGATCAGCGGACCTATCTCTGTGGCCTCTCGGACTGTATCACCGCGTTGGAACGCTCTGTGATATCGGATGTTGCGAGCTGCACGGGGAATAACCGCGGTGGCGTTTCACACAAAATACGTGCGTCCCTTTACGTCAAAATTGTATTGAAGCGAGAATAAAAAGAAATTGATATTTCAATTAAATAAAAAACCACACTCCCGAAAAAACTTCAATGATTCTCCTTGGAGAAAATATATTGATGTACGAGCTCTTTGACGTAAGCGTGTTAGAATCGCGGTACCATAAATGTGTGATGTTTTGCATTTTATTGCAGAGTGGCTCAATTAACAGGCTACGATCCGCCAGACCTTATCGAGAAAACGTTGTACCATTATGTGCACGGATGCGACATTCTGCAGCTGCGACACTCTCATCATGTTCGTAAGTGTTTCATTGTGTTACTAGATGCAACTCGTATTAACACACCCTCGGAAAGGATTCCTGTTACCGAGACAAAAAATCTCCTTGACGCATTTGTATTTCTCACCACCTCATTTAGTATAAAACTAAGACAATATCAAAATAAAATCAATAATTCTTATTCTCCTCTGTTGAATTAAAAAAGATTGACTTACTATGTTGAGACGAGAGTAACTTATATTAATGTAAGTTTATATATTCTTGCGTTTAAAATAACTTTTCCCTCCATCTTACAACGCACGAAGTCGGTGATATTCCGTGATATTCGCTAAAAGACGACACTATCATTTTATTCCAGATTTTAGAATTTTTCATATAAGATTAAAATATTCCTATCTCTATAATAAATATGATTGGTGCTATATCGATCCTATTTTATGATACATTCAAGTGTAATAGCATTGGATCCGGAAATTTTTTCTGTGGGTGCAGATGATTTCATTAATACGCTGACATACGCTGGCATTTATAGCCATTTGTTTAGTAATAGAACATAGAGCGTTTAACTTTATCTTGTCAATTTAAGGAGGTTTCTTGCGTAATGACAGATAAAACTTGCAACTGTACAGAGTCAAATTTCAATTTTTCTACTTTTGGTCTGTTTATGCAGGAGCCACTTTAATGTGTAGCTCTGTATCGTCTACTTATTTACGCTCCTTTAAACACAATTTCATTTAATTTCATTCTCTCCTCCCCGGCTATTTAACAAATTTCAGGTGTATCTCGTGAGCCTCAGCTTTGCTGTGCTGTTTCGTTGCATATCAATATGAATATGTTTACCGAGATATTTATTAATAAAAAGAGATTCCTTCGTTTCCTCTTATGTAAAGTGCAAATATACCAGCCGCAGCATTTCTCCTCTGCTCCCAGCAGATTATGCTCTTACGTTTTCGCTCGTGTTTTTCCCGTCTTAAAGGTCACCTATTTTCGTCTGAATAATAACATCGCAAACATACAAACGCTCGAAAATATTTTCCCTCGACAGTTTCTCCGTTGACCGACGGTCCGGCGCGCGGATTCTCTCAAACGACGTCGACGCGATACGTCGATGAGGATAAGCCCTTTGCGGACGGAGAGTAGCTGACGCTGCTTAACTCACCGACGCGACGCCCTTACGAAACATCCTTTGATCTTACCTCGTGCCACTCGCGCGCCACGTATTTCCACTCTTTTTCATTTTTCCTCTCTCCTTGGAGCGCCGTCACGCGCGCTTATTCTAAGTATGTGGACACGTGGTGCACCTAGGGTGTACATTATTGATTGAACAACGTTGCCACAGCGCGCCGACGAAAAGAGACGGCTGCTGGGCGTGCGTCTATACGCGCGAAAGAGAATGAGAAAGAGAGAGGGGAAAAGGGGGGAGGAGAGAGTGACGATAAGAGCGCCGAGCGGGGTAGAAGCGAGGGAGGTTTAGCGAGAGGTGTGAGCGAGGTAGGAGGCTGTTACTGCTATCACTGTTTGAACAGACTCGCAGTTTCACGAGCGCGACTCGAAGGGAGTCTGACATAATGCCGCTAATGTCTGCGCCTGAGGATTGCGCAAATGTCATTCCGCTCGGTTTTTTTTGCGCGTGCGACGCCGGGATAGATAACTAGGATTTTTCTCAAGGAGCCGCAAACGGAAGACGCAATCTTTCTTGAATTATTAAAACTTTTTCCTTTTCAGCCCCGGGTAATTTTTGTTTTCGCTCATTTTTCATCCTAGCGCCATCATCAGAGATAGCAGCGCTAAGCTAAGGCTGACGTTCGGTTTTCTCTCGTACATCGGTTTTGTAAAATCCTGTTAAGTTGTTGATTTATCGTTCATTAATACAACGCGATTGTGCATCGTAAACTTTTACCTCGGGCGCAATGCAATTCTAACAATTCTTCGCTAATAGTTGGTGGGCACCATTGCCTTGTTGACAGTGTTGCGCAAAGGTCAGGCGACAACGAGGTACTACAGGTTTCTGACGAAAACCGGCGGATGGGTGTGGATGCAGTCGTACATGACGATCGTGCATAATTCGCGAAGCTCGCGCCCGCATTGCATCGTGTCCGTGAACTACGTCTTGACGGCCACCGATTCTACGGGCCTGATCCTGGACTGCGAGCAGAAGTCGTCCTGCTCGAGCCCGGGAAATCCGCCGAGCGCTCCCGTGTCGACGCCCGTCACGATTGGCGACCTGGACAATCACAGCCCGAGCCCGCCTTCTTATCGTAGCAGAACCAAGGAGCCACCCGATACCGATTACGCCGACAGTTCCGGCTATCCCAACTCGGAGTACATGGTGGGTTCGACCAATCACAGCCACTACCTGTCGTCCTCGCCGTACACGCCGCACAGCATCAATGGTGCAGCCCACGAGGACAGCACTTACTATCCGGACTTGTTTTACCAATACAGTGGTGAGTTTTACTGTTGGTTTTTATATCTTGGAAATTCATTTGCGTTCAGAGATGAGCGAATTAAACCAGTTTTACAAATTATAGAAAATTATTAAATACCAAAATATACAATATAATAAAGATTGAACGAGGGACGCGATTTCTCCGGACGCTTTTTTTCTGACAGGAAAATTTTATGCTATTTCCGTACATATTCATCTCCGCTCTCTGAAAGCCAATCAGTGGATTATCATTGAAAACAGTGAATAGTCAGTGATTTACAGTTATAAGTATACCACTGCAATTTTTCAGTGGTAATTTGCTGATTGACTTTTAGAAAGTGAAATGTTATTGTATAACAATCAGATATAACAGTATACTTTACACGGACGATGTGAAAATATCCATCAGGAGTGATGAAAGACTTTTGTGAGGCCAATAACACAACTCTACAAAAAAAAATTGTCTTTGTTCTAAAATTTATTTTATGAATTTTCTATTCATTATGTTTTAAAATAAAGGAAAAATACCCATATTCCTTAAAAAGTTTGCTTTTGTGGTAGTTATGATAATAAATCCTTTTTCTTGAGTTATCATATTAAAAAAGAGTATTCAATAGTTCTGATGTTTTTAAAAATACCGCGAAAAAATAAAGATGGCGTAACTGTCACACAGCGTCTACAGATGTCACTTAAGTGATAAACAACAATTAACTGTTTTGTAGAAGACTCAAAGAGGTTAAAATGTCGTCTAGAAAGTGTAAATATGATGCTAATGCATTTTGTTATATATGTGGTACATTTATTAAAGTACAAGATATAAAATTTTATTTAAACGGATGTGAAAAGCTTTGTGAAGCCTACGAAGCTTATTTTAAATGCCCTGTTCGGAATTTAGACAAACCCTATGGGCTGCAGAATGTCTCTAAAAGTACATATGCTGCATGCTCATTTAGATAAATTTGAAAACAACATGGGGGCGTATTCAGAAGAACAAGGAGAACGTTTTCATCAAGACATCATGGACTTCGAACACCGTTATCAGGGCCATTACAACGAAAATATGATGGGGGACTACATTTGGGGTTTAGTGAGAGAAAGTACTTATAAACATGAAAGAAAAAGTAATAGGGTTCACTTTTAAACTTTTTTCTATTATTTTGTAATTTTTGTAATTTGATTTGATATTAAAAGTTGATAAAAATTTAAACTATGGATTTTCTAAAATATTGATCAACCGTTCTCCTGGATACAAAAGCAAACTTTTTCAGGCCATATATTTTTTTTTGTCTAACTTATCGATAAATCTATCGAAATTTCATACTCTCTTATCAAAGTCAAGATTCGTGTTGACCTGTGTAATCTTTCATTACTCCCATAAATAAGGATAACACAATTTATTCGATTTTAACCCTCTATTTTGTAATCTCGAGACCCCCACCAAGACCCCGTAAACACCCTGCAGCACCAACAAGACACGCACCATCAGCACCTTCTGCATCACGCCACGTCCCTGACTATTCAGCAGCACAGCCCACAGAACAACCAGCAGAAACGGCAGCATCCTCAGCACCTGCTACATCAGAGTGCGACCTCTTTGACGACTCTCGAGCAGCAGCAGCAGCAGCAGCAGCAGCAGCAGCAACAGCACAGTCCTCAGAGCGGCCAACAGAAGCGACCTTACTCGACATCCTCGAGTTCCTGCGGTAGCACCGACGGTCTGGACGTGCACTTGACGAATTCTCTGCTGCCATCGGGATACCATCATCATCATCACATGCCGGCGGACTCGACGTCGTCGACGACACTGAACGAGGCTGGCGGCGTAATCATGTACCCGAACTGCGGTTTCAACAACAACGAGAGCTATAACGCCGCGGCACTTCAGCACCACGACGGTTACCAGCAGGGCCACCCTCAGGTTCACCACAGCAACGGCAACGGAACGGTGAAGCATCCCCATCACCATCATATGGAGGTCTCGTCGGCGGGCTACACCAGCGTCATCGTCGACTCCCAGCAGTATAGCCCCAGCACCGTGCCCCAGGAGTTGCACGCGCATCAGACGGCGCCGGTGAGCGGCGGTACGCCGCCACTGCACCATCAGCCCCATTACGAGACGCATCACCAATTTGTTCACTGACATCAATTCGAGGTGCCCTGCGCGTAGCACTTCGACGCCGCTTGCGACGATGGCGCGTGCGGGCATCATCATGATCGTCATCATCATCATCATCATCAACAACAGCAGCGTCATTGCGCAACATCAGAGTGCGTTGGAGAGCATTACGTTGGGCATCATGTAAACAATGAATCGTACAACCCCACCGGGTCTCACGTTACCTACGTCACGCCCTACAAACGACTCTGGAAGATGGAGGAACGGTGTGTCTCAACCTTAAAAGGTAATTCATAATTGCCGCTTGCAAAGCAGCGATAAGGTGATAATACTGTTACTAGCCATTAAATGGCACAACCACCCAAAAATCCTTGTCTTTACATTAGATTTCTTCAGATGCATGTCGAATTTAATGTCGCTATCTATCTGCATGCGGAAGTTCTCAATAAAGATTTTGCGTGAGTTCGATAAAGATATAGTAAAATATTATTTAAAGGAGTTTCTTTGTGTGATACACTTAAAAAAAGAATGTTCACGTTGAGAAAAGAACTTGTGAAAAAACCGGCGTTTCGTTTGGGAGCTGAGCTTCGAGAAACACGTAACTGATTATATTTCTATATCGTTTTCACTCGTATTATCAAGTTATCGCAGTAGAATCTCGATGATAGCGACATTGACGACTGCAGTGGCGATAAAAGCGAACCTGTCTAATTTCAACATTCGATATCACAGCTTTAACGAATGCTTTTGGAATCAAAATGCAGAAAACAATATACAAAATAAAATGACACACTGTTCTCGTTATGTAGAAAAATTGCTAAACGACGCAATTGGCAAATTCTAATTGGTTAATCATGCACTGGCATAAAATATTCCTTTATTCTTGTTCTCGTTATTTTCACGGATAATTCAAATAATTTTAAAATCCGTGAAAGCTTGATGGAATAAATTTGATGGTATTGTAACATCGTTGCGATGTGAACAATATATGAACATCAATAATTGCAACTTCGAATACAATATAAGAAAATAGACATGTCAGTAATATAATCGCGGATAACGCTAACTGAGTCACCGTGAAGAAAATTAATGAAAAAGAATGAATACGGATGAAGTTTAAGAGATTAATGATTTGAAGAGGCTCATCAAATCCTTTGTATGTACTTTGTATCACATATCTCGAGGCGAGACAATAATAAAATTCTCGATATTGTAATTCAGCTCCACTTAAGCACTTCACAATAGTGATCGTTAGGAGCATCGCATAGAAAGAAGTTAGTAATATTTTGCACGCGCTGGACGCGAATTTCCCATGGAGAGTAATTTGACGAAAATAACGGACACGAAATACTTAGCAATTAATTCGAATGTTTAAATTTAAAAGTCACGTAAAAAAATTGAAAGCAGGAGAAGTATACTGATGATTTATACAAACTCTTTAGATATCGTAAAAGGTATCGTGAAGTGGTAAATGTAATAAGAAATCTACATAAAGTTTATTTATATTAGAAAATAATTCTAAATAAATTTGAACACATGTACATGTATATAGTAAATTCATATACATATGTATATCGGATGTGTCACAATTCGCGCAATGGAAAGCACAGTACAATTCTCTGTGTCAGAAGAAGCAACATTTCTTTTTTTTAAGTTTACCCTTTTTCTCAACCGTTAGGTTATATCAGCTGATATTTCTACAAATTCCTTGAAATTCATGCTTAATTGAACGTGGAAATTCAACTCTAGGCGCTTAAACTTTTTCAAACGCTGAGTTTTTAAAATTTACCTTAACGGCAAGATATGCAGGACGGGGATCGAACCGAGGATCCTACCATAACTAATCACTTTATATGTTAAGCCCGTATCACACTACGTATAGGCCGAATCAGACTAGCAATTGCTGACTCGGATTGATTAGGATTGGCGATTGTCCTCTGGCCAATGAGAGCAAAGCAGCCAACGATTTAATCGACTCTCATTGGGTAGAGGACAATCGTCAATCGCTAATCTCAATCTAATCCGAGTTGGCAATTGCTAGACTGATTCGGCTTTTTGCGGATCGCGGATCGCAATTCAACCAATCGGATACGAGGCTGTCTCGTCTGATTGGCTGAAATACGATCCGCGATCCCCAATACGTAGTGTGATACGGGTTTTAGCACAGATCTACACGTCATCCCGAAGCAACATTTCTTTCAGGCAAAGCTGTATCCAAGTTTTTTAATCAGTTCGCAACTTTGTCACACAGAAAAAGGTTACTTCTTCTAACAGAAAATTACATTGCACGCGCGGATTTGTAGCACTCTGTATATTGAAGTTAATGAACATTGAAATAAAATCCTGAATTTTCGTTCCACGGACGGATTACATTATCAAAACGGCTAGACAGACCAAAAAGAGTTACTGCCAAATTGAACGACTTTAGCTGTTCTAATTTTGCGCATCACTGTTACACACTTATGCTCATATATGGAGCTGCAAAAAGTTGCACTTTTTTCTTAAACAAAACATACAAATAATATTTTATAATTTCAAATTAAAATAACTCTCAATTTTTTGTAACACTTGTATTTCGTATAGAATAAAGAATTGTGTCAAATGGTGTTTAAAAAAGGATATAAAATTCAAAAGGTACAAAGTTAAAATTGAGTGAAATTATTCGATTTTATGTTACGTCTTTCTTCCATATCTCTAGCTGTTTTAGAGATATAATCCGTTAGAGCTTTGTGGAAAATCCTGTCGATGAATTTTGTATAATTTTTTATATTAGTCGTTTTCATCCTTTCACTTTTTGCAAATGTTGAAATAAGATATTCTAATATTAATATACTAATCAGGCTATTGGCGTTGTTGCTGTATATCTACCATTAATGCGAGATGTCTTCTCTCGAATGTAACACAATGTAAATACTGTAGACGTGTAAATTATACTAATTAATTAAAATGAAATGTATATATAGTACCACTTATGTCGATCCGCGAAGACTGACCGGTGCTTGTGCCAATCGACCAAAGAATTTTACGCTCTTTTTATCGAAGAATTAGTATTATATTTTTAATCGCACTTATTTAAGTACGAGTATCCAATAAAGATAGAAGAGCGAGTATTGTGAATGTATCTAAGCGCAATCGTAGTGCAAAATCCAATACTTTAACTGTCACGAGATATTTTATTACGGATAGAGATTATTACATCATAGACATCGCGTGCTGTATAATATAAAACGACGCGCGTGTATAATCGGCCTCAAAATGAAACCACGAAACTTAACCTTTCTTTTAGTATTTCTCTCGGAACATAAGAAAAGAGTCTCGACCATTTTAACGCCGACTATACACGCACAATGCAAGCCTGATTATTTATATCAATGTAAAGTGTGAGATTTCGTAGCGAGAATCACGGCAACGTGCCAAGCATTGTAAATATTGTAAAAGTGTAGAACTACATAAGCGTACACAAGAAAGTATATCATATTTTCCTCTGAAAAATGATATTTTTACTTGTCTTCCTGTTTCTACAGTTTTTCTTACAGCCTTTCAAGTACTGGGTTTTATAAGTAAAAGAGTATTAATGATTGACGGTTAATGCTATTCTTCGTTAAAAGAGACAAAAAATATTATACAATACTTAGCAGCTATACGCGAGTAGAACGGAAATACGTTCTATCATTCTTAATCCCAAATTCCTAATAATAGACTTGATATTAAATAAACTTCTGGGCAATTGAAGAAAAGTGCACGAATATTAAAATTTTATACGTTACAGAATATACAGGGTGACCCAATAAACCTCGGACCAGTATTTTTACATTTATTTTTATTGAAACAAAAAATCAAACAAATATAACAATTAATAATAATAAAATGGACCTTTAGTAATAATATATTCAAGCGGTTTCGAAGTGACCTCCTTTGGCGGCGATACACAGGCCCAGACGTGTCTTGAAATTTTCGGTGATGGGCCGCAACTATTCTGGCGATAAACGGTCCCATTCCCGGCGCAACGACTGCTTCAGCGACTCCAAACTTTTGTGGCGTTTAGCACAGGCCCGGGCCTCCAAAATCGACCACACGCTGTAGTCCATCGGATTGAGATCCGGCGAGTAGGGCGGCCATTCCGCAGACGAGATGAAATCCGGAAAATGGGCCTTGCACCAGTCCTGAGTCGTTTTCGCCTTGTGAGCCGGGGCGGAGTCCTGTTGGAACGTCCAATTCGCATCGCCGAAGTGCTGCTGGGCCCATGGAAGTACGACGGCCTCGAGAATGTCGCGGCGATGAACTTCTTGGTTGATTTTGACTCCTTGATCCACGAAAACGAGGGGGTCTTGCCACTGGCGCAAATTCCGCCCCAGACCATGACGGACTGCGGATTTTGGCAGTGTTCGACGATGGCCGACGTGCCGGGAGCCTCTACGGACCAGTTTCTGTCGTTTTGGTGGTTGTGCGCCTGCTCCACGGTTAACAGCTTCTCGTCGGTTTATCGCCAGAAGAGTTGCGGCCCATCGCCGAAAATTTCAAGACACGTCTGGGCCTGTGTATCGTCGCCAAAGGAGGCCACTTCGAAACCGCTTGAATATATTATTACTAAAGGTTCATTTTATTATTATTAATTGTTATATTTGTTTGATTTTGTGTTTCAATAAAAATAAATGTAAAAATACTGGTCCGAGGTTTATTGGGTCACCCTGTAATTTGGTTATAAAATTGATTGACAAATATGGATAAAGGGGACATTCGAAGCAGACTCTTGTTGAGGCAATTTAGTTGCGCGAATTCTCACGTTTAGATTACGACCCGGCCGGATTTGCATTTTCTCTCGAATGCGTGTTATATGATAAATAAAAAGACGAAAAGAATAGGTCGGCCGAACAATCGACGTAGAGGAAGAAGCGTTCTGCCAGGAAAGCGTTGAAGGGCAATAATGGACGTTTCGAGTAATTCAGCTTCGCGAGATTCTCACGATTAAATTAGAAGCGAGATCGGGCGCGCGGGAACGCGGACAAAAGAGATCCGCGTCGTGCAGCATCCAGCGGGGATTCCTCGTCCCACAAACACGGCGGAGGCAATGATCCCCGCGCCTTTCTGCCGCGCGACCCCGATTGTCACTCGGCCGGCGCAAACAATAAATTAATTGTGCCTCGTACGATCGGCTAGCTTTCGGCGGTCGTGTGCTTGCCGGCATGACGTCTCTGAAGAGGCACGTGCCATTTTATATAATCGCCATTCAACCTCTCCTTCTCTCTCGCGCGCTCAAAGCAGGCACGCAAGAAGATAGGAGTCATTACTCTCCCTAAAATCGACTTACTCCATTACGAACGATGCACTTCTTTCTTTTAGAGATACAGCAGAAAGAAAATGCAATGGGGGGGGGGGTGTTCTATGTAATTATCCTAACTCTTCTAAAATCGATCTTAATTTTTGCTAGACAACTTTTTTTAACAACGCCAAAAACTTGTGTGGGTCTGACGAAAACTTGGTATTTAACTATTTGGAGAATTTAAATTGAGAATATGTTATTAGAAATGCCTATTGTCGATTAAATAGCAGAGCCTACCGAAAAGCCTCGAGGCAACTTTAAAGTGTAATTTTTTCTATTTTTGGTCGGCTTATGCAGGAGCCACCTTAAATGTGATTTGCTTTTCAAAAGTTTCTGGTTTCATAACGCTTGGCGTGAGGCTGCTCCAAAAAATCTCATTGTCAAACATACGGCTAACGCAACGCGGGCCTTAAAGACCGTCACCGCGGGCGGTACCGGGACTTTTTGAAACGATTGATCGCACAATTTCGCAGAATCATGGTCGCGTCCCGTTCACCAGCCGAAGAATTTAACGAGCCGCACGCGACTTCGCACAACCTCACACGTCGTCGCACACGACCGATAATGGCACCCCTCGTGGACTATCCCGCCTCTAACGTTCTCATTATACCCAGTCGTGTCGTGACCGGTGTATTCTTTCGCTTACTTTTACATATTACGACGAGCACCAGCGGCAGAATCGCGGAAGGATCAGTCCGGTTATCGTTGACACGAATACACATATAATGTGTAAAATACATGATTGGAACGATTTCCTAACTTTTCGAAAGGGCAAGCTGCCAATATTGTTTTATTGTTAGACACCGAGTCAGCGATACAAGTACACCCTCAGAAATGATTTCTGTTACCGAGACAAAAAATATTCTTGACGCATTTATATTTCTCACAACCTCGTTTAATGTAAAAATAAGACAATATCAAAATACAATCAATAATTCTTACTCTCCTCTATCGAATTAAAAAAGATTGACTTACTAGATTGAGACAAGAGTAACTTATATAAATGCAAGTTTATATTCTTGCGTTTAGAATAAATTTCCCCTCCATCTTACAACGCACGAAGTTGACGCCGCGATATTCGACAAAAGACGATGCATACTATCGTTTTATTCTAGATTTTAGAATTTTTCATTTAAGATTAAAATATTCCTTTCTCTATAATAAATATGATTGGCGCTATATCGATCCTATTTTATGATACATTCAGGTGTAATAGCATTGGATCCGAAAATTTTTTTCTGTGAATGTACACTCAACTCTCTTTTTACGCGGTTTCCTTTTGCATGTTCTCCCGTCACGCGATTCTAAACTAAAAAATGATAATAATGAAAAGACATAAGAAGATCAGTTAGAAATTGTAAGAGGACAAATAGTCTTTCCTGTCCATACTTTCTTGATAGCAGGCTGATAAAGTCGGAATAATTTTCTCACATTGTAAAGCTTCTTAAAAAATTAATAGAATTCACGAGGCTCTCGTGTGACAAACGCAAATTCGAAGGAATAAAGACTAAAGAGCCGTGGCAGGACGTTAGTGTCTAAATAATTCTTATTAAAAATTTATTGCGAAAAATATTACCTTTAAAATAAGAATTATTTAGACAGTAAGATCCTGTCACGGCTCTTCAGTCCTCATTCCTTCGAACTTGTGCTTATTGAAAAATTTTAAATAAATTTAGAGAAAACGTAATATACGGACAGTCGGCTCGCAGAAGATTAGAACTGTGAATAGGCGGAGTCGAACAGTGTAGAATTGCTACGGGTGGTTTTGTTTCTCTCGTTGCGTTTCTTCCAGTCGCTCGTAAAAATATGAGAAGGTTTAAACTTTTATACGTCTCCGCGCTGCGCGTATACCGTACAGCAAAACGGGTACGGCTGTTGTATATAGGAACCCACAAAAGTAATGAGGCCACGTACGGTCGGCGGAGAACTATTGTAGCAATTAATTTTTATAATTATTTCCCCCTTTCGCAACTTTCTGCACTACTTTTCGTTTCTTCCGCTAATCGACAGAAAAAAACCCAAGTTATTCAAATTATTCTCTAACAGATGTTTAAATATTATCTACGCATTTTATTCTATTCGCGTGTGTTGATCTGTCGTTCGTACTATTTCACATTTGAGGGAAAACTTGTTGCCTTATTTTATTTTACTCCGAGAATTTTTGTCCGCGACACCTGAATTTTCACGAAAGTTTTTTCCCTAACGTAAGTAGACAAGGGATAAAAAGATAACACATTTTGCTTGCTATGGAAATATCGGGGTGACTCTCTAATCGCACCACTGAAGCGTAATAACTTGTGACATTTCGTACCGCGTTTCCCATATCACGTAATACATTACGAGAAAGGATACGGCGTGACACCTTTTTTGGATAAATGCTCAGGGTGACCAGCAAACTCAATGAAAAAAATTCCCTGACCTTCTCAGGTTTTCCAGGAGTCGGAATTAATTTTTCCCCGACCGTTTAGTGTAACTTTTTTCAAGATGCATAATTTGCGTACATCTGTTTGGTAAATCAAGTAAATGTTAAATGACGAAGTCCTTGAAATATTTTTCTCGGGAAACAAAAGTCCGGAATTTGAAAAGGCAAAAATTTAAATTAAAGCAATTATACCATCTATGTATAATTGTGTGTAATAGGAACGAACATATCATTACAAACCATTCGAACCATTTGTGATACTGTACGTAATCATATATGATGCTTCGTTTTGCTTAACTGCATTTTGTTCGCAACTTACTAGATAGTAACTTACTTAGCTAGTACTGTTTAGTAATTCATCTTTTTTTATAGTTTTGTCTCAGTTGAACTCATTGAAGTAAAATAATACGACGATGAAAATATAAATTACCGGCCACGCTTATAGGAAAAAAATTAATAAATTGATGTTTAGCAAAACAGAAAATCAGTGTACTGAGAGCCAAAGGAAAGTTTATTTTCTAAAAACTTTAAATTATTCAGAAAAAATGTGAAACGATGTAAAAATTTCAGATAAATCGTAAAATTTCCTGACTTTTCCCTGACATTTCCAAATTTCTAAAATTCCCTGACAATTCCCGGTTTTCCAGATTTCCCTAGCCACTGGATACCCTGATGCTTGTATGGCGCTTAGTGTTGCGTTATTAGAAAAATTTCGAAAAAAGCAAAAATGCGAACAAACATTCGGCGCAACGGCTGTAGTATTTACTTGATCGCGTGACACCCTCGAAGAACAACATATGCATCGGCTGCACCGAGGGTACCGCAGAAGTGCTATTATCCCCGGCGATTAGGGATATAAACGCGGATTTAGACCAGAGGAGGGGAGAATTTTAATTAAACTAAACACTTGACAGGTTGCGTGCGCTGTAGAAACATTTGTATCGCGGGGCGTAGTATTTGCTTATCATTAAGACGCGGATTACGGAGATTTGTGGGGCTGTAGCGCAAACCGCGATGCTCTTCCGGATGGAACTAGATGAAATTAGATTCGTGGTCCACGCCGAAGTAATCGGGAGTTGCGTAAATAATTACGACTGCGCTGCGGTTAATAGCTTGACGCGAGTGCGCGAACCTGTCTTGTAATAATGACTCTCTATTCTCACGAAATGCAGAAACTCTGCAATTATAAACTCTTCTTCGCAGTGAATTTATGAAGGCGCGCCGAAAAATGCTTGGCGAAAAACGCTCGCCGTCGTGAATAAACCGAGTCAAAAAGAGGCGCCGCGAATAACAAAACTTTCGGCACGGGGACCACGATTTCGACGGACGGATTGCCGCGCGGGCTGGGAGGACCGAGGCGATCCTTGGCGGTAAACCTAGCGTTGCGGCTGAGCAAAGGCAAGGGTGGACCCATCGCACCCATGCGCACGCATACACACGCGTACACAGGAGCGCAAACAAGCGCACGCAGGTGTGTACCGGCAGCGCGGCGGGCCTGCGCGCGAATCGGGGGCGAAGGGTCCGCTTTAGCGGAGTCGCCCCCCGCCGGTAACCAGGGCGACGGCACGCAACGCCGCCCACAATCCCCGGGCTGTCTTGTCCGATGTGTTTGCTCGATGATTTTATACCAATTACGGCCTATCCCCGTGCCATTGCCTACATACACACCACCGACGCCGCCGGCAGCCGCCATCGCCGTACCCGCGTCGCGATTCCGCCACTTCCGGAACGGAAGCCGCCTCCACCGCGGACCGCAGGTAGAACCGGCCGTGCCGAGGCGAGGCGCCGAACGCTTGGTACCAGCATCGTTACCGATCATCTGCTGCCGAGCAGAAAGTATCAATCTATCGATATCAAAATTTTCTCTCTTAGGCCCGTATTCTGGCTCCTCTTTTGTCGATAAAAGCGCCTCTAAAAGTGGCTTGCAACTAATCAGAAGGCTTATTAGCCACTTTTAGAGGCGCTTCTGTTGACAAAAGAGAGCTAAGAATACGGGCCTTAGTCTCCCGAAATTTTAAATGCTATTGGAACACTTGTTGCGTTGGATTGAAACCTGATTGTAGCTGTAATATTTGTGTGACGATCGTAAAGTTGAATTAAGACTTGCAGGAATTTCATAGCGTTTTTTAAATACTTTACTAAATATCGCGATATAAATCAATTTGTAGTCTTTTCTGGCCGGGTAGTGGTAAGGTTCGTCTCTTTCTTTCTTAAATAATAAAGTACACATATATTTTAATCATACAGTATGGCAAAAATATATATTGAAATTAATATACACCCTAATAAATGATACACAACACGGAAGTGTGTGTTCGACAGGTATACTGGAAAATAATCAATTATGATTACATTACGTACTAGCGTGTACATGTAACCGTTTCGTAGATAAAACATCTGTTTCTGTTCAGGATTTTAATTAAATTAATAATTTAATTGGTTCAGACTTCGTTAAGCTTAATTTACTCAGGAGCGCTAGTTTTATATTTACTTGATCTACTATTATGCTTTAAATAAATATCAGATGTAAGTGTTAAGCTAAATATTCTCAGTTACTATGAACACTAACTCAAATCCTAGGCTAAAGTGCTAATTTTATTTACGTCTCACAGGCAATTAATTATTTTCCAGTTTACGTGATGTATTTATTAATTTGGCATGGTCACATCATCGCATCTTTGGTATTGTATATTATTTCAATTGCATCATGGTCTATGTATACATCGACTGTATTCTCACAGATAATTATGGGATCTATGAAAAAGTATTGAATCGACTAGTATATTTCACAAAGCCTAGCATTACCGCCCTCCCGTTTGTTGTTGAAAAATATCGCGCGTTTTAAATGCATAAGGGGTTATGCATCTCGAATTTTTCCCAGTCTTGCAGAAAGAAATGCGATTACTTCGGAGCACCGTGTATATTTTCTCTGCGGCGTGAAACGCGCGCGGAGACATCTGAACGTTCCCGGGCGAGCTCTCAGCATTATAGGCGAATGGAGTGGCCGATAAAACAGACAGCGATGAAAACGCAGCCTTAATAATACAAGGGCCGTTTAAAAAGTTCTCAGGATGAAGTACATACAAGTGGCACTCGCGCAAGACATCATACATCATTAAATGGAAAACTCCAATCTTTCTATGAACAACACGTAAAGTTCCAACTCGTCCCAGAAAATAGTTCATTTTTGTATAGATCTTTGAACGAGCACATCTACGTGATGAAATCTCGCGAGAAAGGACCTATTTAAGAGTTTATTTTGCATATCAGTATATCTTTTGCCGATAAGCCCTTCTTCACAAAATACTTGGCTCAGTATGCGCTGTAGAGTTTTTTTTAAGGCGGATATGCTTGTTCAAAGACCTAAAAAAACTGCACTATTTTGTGGAACGAGTTTGCTCAATTTTACAAGTGTTCATCGAAAGGTTGGAACTTCCCATTTAACATTCGTCGCGCGAATACCATTTGTACTTTATTCCGAAGCCTCTTCGGATGGCCCTCGTAATATGTATATGAAAAACAAATGATCTAATTCTCGAGTCACCTCGCCGTTTCTATATTGTTCTTCGAAATGTCTACTAATCTTCATTTCAATAATTTCAATGATACTTGACGGCGTTACACAGAAATCGAAGTTAACGCAATTGAAAATTGTCTCTGATAAAGTGGCACTTTGATTTTTCTCAATGTTTAATCAAACATTACACATCGATCGAACTCTGTGAGATTTTAAACGTTATTTCACGCCGCAGCGAAAGGCTGTGAAAATATTCGATACTCGGGCGACATATACATGTAATATCTGCATGAAGTCAATAAGAAAAACTAATCTTGGACGCTGCATCGTATACATTGCGCAATACGCTACACAGAGAAATATTATACATCAAGGAGTAAACAATACTATTAATAATAATGGACTTTCTAGCTAATAAATTAAACTCAATATCTTACATTGTCTACTTGACTTAACGATTGATTAATTGGCTCAGGTAAACTGCGCTACGAGATCGATCATCTCAGATTCGAATTTTCGGTCAGAATTTCGACCGTGCCTCATGATAAGTTCCGTAAGGGATTTTGTTCTTGCCGAAATCCTCGTCGAAGTTGTCGGCCCCGCTGTACATGGAGAAGCCACGACGAGAGAGCAGTTCGCCAGGCACGATCGTGGGATTGGTGTAACAAAAGTCCGCCATCATACTCGACTGCCTGTTTAGTTGGTTCGACCTAAATCAATTTTCAGTTTCAATCGCGATCGAATCATTACCAGATACGGAGAGGACTGAGAGGATTGAGAGGATTCACTGGAGACGATTATTTCAACACGCAGCGGAATTTAAATCGATCAACTTTCGGTTTCAATCTCGATCGAATCATTACTAGATTCGGAAAGGAATGAGAGGATTCGCTGGAGGTGATTATTTCAACACGCAGCGGAATTCAAATCGATCGCCGATTACAAGGAGGATTACAATGAGGAAACGGACGTTGCGCAAAGGAAATAATGATTATTGACATTAGTAATGAGACTGAAGAAATTGCAAAACGAAACTTGGGCCAAAGACAAGTTCCTTCAAGCTTCGTGTCGGAAATAATTCGAGAGGAGACCCAGAGATATTTTCAAAAAAATTGCAGAAGGATAAAGAATGAAGATGACGATGAAGATGAAGAAACAACAAAGAAGATCATTCTCTACTTCAGAAGATTGCTTGACCATGTCTGGCAAATTTTTATGTTCAAACTTACGACGTTCCGACCATTGTTTTTGGTCTTCTTCAAGCGATAGTTGTGTCAGTGAATCCGTATGGTAAATCAAAAGGAGCTGATCTTAACTTCACTAACTGGTTCGTCATGTTCCGTCGTTCGTGAAACTAAGATCCGCACCTTTTGATTCACCATACGGATTTACTGACACAACTGTCACTTGAAAAGGACCACAAAACAATGGTCAGAACATTGTGAGTTTGAACATAAAAATTTGCCAGACATGGTCAAGCAATCTTCTGAAGTTTTTTAATTACTTCTGGCGACTTATAAGATTTCCTCCGTCAATAATTCTCTACGTTGCAAAAGGCGCTATCGCAATTTATCCTCACGTATATCAATCGGGATAGAACCAACGCGAAAAATTACGATCGAAATGCATTTTTGCATTAGATATGCGCTAACAAACCGGAAATCGCTAATTAAAGTAACATTTTTTTTAATAATCATCTCTACTCTTCTTGGATGAGATAAGTGAGAGAATAGCGGCAATAAAGATACGCTATCAAACGATTTCGTCGGCTGCGTGACTCACAAAAGAAACATGCGTATTTTCATTCTTGCGGTAAATGCGAAAATGTCTAACTGCCTCCGTTGCAGATATGCGCCGGGCACATTTTTTCTACTTTCCTTTCGCCGCGCAGGTGCACCGCTAAGTGAAGCAATCAAATAATCACGGCAAACTATCGGTCCGTTGCGCGTAATATTCGATAATCGAATGTTACAACGGCACTCATAAATGTACAGCTAATTAAAGCACTTTTCAATGCACAAGTTTTACATCTTGCGAACAAACGGCCTGGAATTTTCACCCGATCTATCGATTACCTGGATTTCACTCAATTATATATCGTAAAGAAGAATTGTGTGGTGAGGAGAAAGGGTTTTTTTCTTTATTAATCAACCGCGATGAAATTTCACACATTGGAAACCACGCATCGACATTTGCGTTTTTACAACCAGCATTGGCCCTTTCGCCTCACCACACAACTTTTGTTTGTTTGAAGCCGTCACTACTCATCGCTTATGTAAAGAATGCTAGAAATGCAAAAATGTGTAAGAATCAAAAGAGGAACGTTTATTTTACGAAGACGTTCCACGATGCTGAAGCTCTTAAAACCGGATGTTTCGCGTGCATATACCTGGTGAAATACGTCGCCGACGATTCGCGATCGGACAGTAATGTGTATTTAGCTACGGCACGATTCAACCACGTAGAAATTTTAAGTTACGACGCGTTACGACGCACGTGATCTTCGACCGTACGCACTTTTGCGCAATAAAAAGTACACGCTTGTCGTCGACGGATTGTGGGTTTGTTGATTAACGTTTACGGTCGACGACAATTCAGCATGATTGATATTTGCTAAATATTTAATGTCATTTGTGGATTACGCAACCGAAACCTTCGATCGTCGCCCCAATTGCCGGTTGACAAAGAGGCTGTGTTACTCACCCGTCCTCGGCTAATCGATTTACTTTCACGAATAGCACGATCACCAAAATGAAAAGTACGATAAGCGCGCCGACGGTGATACCGCATGCAATGTAAAAATGTAGCGTCAAGTCGTCGAGTCCCTAAAAAGAAGAGTTCAGAGTCACTTTTCCCCTAAAGAGAATAAAAATTACATCCAAAATCAGAAGCAAAGATCGTCCGCTAATGTGGGGCCGAGGCGCAAAGGATTCCTTTTCAATTCCCGAATTATGAAATGAATGAATACTTTTACCATTCCATTTCCGTTTTAAAAATATTCTTGAGAATTCCGCAAGAATTCGCTTCTATGTCACCAATTCTGAACCCCTTCTCGGATACAAAAGGAATTTTTTGCGTTCGCAACAACTTTAATTTATTTCCATGAGAGATCGACATGTATACTGCTAATCCTCTTTCAACTACCGAAAAGGAATTCTTTTGAATTTATTTTGAACAGATCACGCTATTTCACGTAGAATTTAAAAAAGTGCATAACGATCCCCCGTGCCATTTGTGTGGACAGATGGTCGTGTGGAAAATCTACTTATTCGTCTATCTGGCACAGCGATAAAAAAAGTCGTGCCTCGCGATTTCGACGATACGCGCGTTAATCAAAGTGACGAAACGAAAGTTTCAAGTAACAAGGTTGTCGGAAACGAGAGTGCAAGATTGTGGATGGAATTTCTGCCGTGCGCGCAGTCGATATCCGCTTCCTCGAGGTTTCGTAAACAGCAATTATTATTCCAACGATCAGTGATTGCTAACACAGTCGCAGGGACGGCCGGATTAACGGGCTTTATTTACTCGAATCACTATTGCGACGCTATCGTATCTCTAATCGGAATTTATCTCGTGGATCTCTATTTCGTGCGTTTCACCGGGCTCGTTCGCGCCAATCCGACTTTGCGTGTAAATACACAGGCTGCATCTGGATAATAACGAGGTCTGCGGACGGACGTGATCAATTACGATACGAGATCTGCCGCGACCCATAAGTATCTCTCGTACTTTGTTCGCGGGAACAAAAAAGCGAAGTAGTAACGTAAGACATTCGCGATCGTCGAGTATCGCGAGTCTTGGACATTTTTCTCGTTCAACTGCGTATTTAAAATTTATAGTACGTATAAACATTCCTGTCATTCTTTACGAGCCTAATCAAGTTATGAGCCGTTAAAGGAATATTTGTTCGTTGATATGGAATTATCAGATAGCCCCGTTCAAGATAATGTGGCAATTATATGCGTTCCAGTTGCAATGAAATTCGGAAAAGTAGGCTGTCGTTTATATTTCTTTATTATTTACGGGGAAATGTGTGTTAAATGTAGACACGCCACACGTTTCCAAATCGGAAGCACATTCTTGCAAATATTCGAAAAGCTTGCACCCACGTGTTACTTGTTAAATGTGCCCTAGATAATTTTGTTTTGTCAGCACAGACCTGGTTCACGACCACCAAAGGTGGAAACTTACCGTGGCTAAGGATACGCCGAAGAATATCAACTTCGCCATGAGGACTCACGCGGGCGACAAAACTATTTTATTGTCACTCGAAGAACCGACAAAGGGACTGACTTGTGCACCGTTTACGACACTCGAGCGAAACACGGACTTGGAATTTTGCCGGAAAAAGAGGAACGGGAAACACGCGCGCGATGCCTCGAGCGTACTCGCGGGAACGATTTGTGGTCAGGGAACGTACGATCGACCTCGGAGGTCACTCGACAGACAGGTAAACACACGAAAGTGGGGGAGAAACTACCGTGTTACTTACCATCGTGAATGAATCAACCAGCCGAATTCGAGAACGCCGGTCTTGTCATACCTCGCTCGCGACGTCGTCTACGTGAGACGTCGGCGTTTTCTCAAGATATCAAGATATCAGCGCGTTATCACGATCTCCTTGCGTATCTACGGAGCAGTGACGACATTGTGGATTCCACGGAGCAGGTGGATCTCGGATCGGGCTCCTCCGACGCGCGAGAAAGATCGAGGGCAACTTGCGAGATCCGCGGGAGGATCCAGCGCTAGCAATCGCCAATCAACGCGACAGTGCTGATGAGCGGAATCGCGATGGGGATACCAGTAAAAGAGGGAGGAAAGGAAACGACAGAAAGGAGAAGATGAATGGGGGATCATCGACGGTGCGATTCCCGGACCGATTCTCCGTGCGTCAAGTTCTCCCGATTGCGAGTGGACGGTCCGGCGATCTTCGTGCGACAGGTGCGGCACGACCGATGCTAGTTAAACGAGAACTAAGCGAAACCGCAGCGAGTGAGGCGAGGCGAGGCGAGGCGAGGCGAAGCAGTCGCCAGCTAAGCAACGCCGAATGCTGATAAACCCCTTCCAGCGATCGCGGGCGTGTGTACACACGTGTGCCCTGTCTCTCCGCAGGGGCATCGCGCCGGCCTCCTCCGCGCTCTCACCCACGGAGACGCGTCGTGGTGTCCTGCACCTGGGCAGGAATGCCCGGTTGCGTAACGCGTCGATAATTCCTCGCTCGTTCGCCAGACATCGATAATTCCGATAGCTAACGCTTCGCTCGGATCCGCGCACCGGCAACGAAATGCCGCGATCTTTGCGAGCGAAGGACCCCAAAATAGCACAGAGAGTCCAGTGAGGAGTCTCTTGGAAGTCCTCAATTATGAAATGAATCCTTTTTTTCCCATTTCGGTTCTAAAAACAATCGTTTTCTTTTATGTCATCGGCTCTTTTTGGATATCAAAGAATTTTCTTAGTTCGTTTTGTATAGTTTATGCTAAAAAGTGAATTCTTTATCGGGTATCATTTAATAATGTTGAGGTATCGTAAGCTTTCAATCGGGAATTTTTCAAGACTCTTGAACTGGTTATTGATTTTTGTTTCCTAATCACTCAAGTACCGGGCCGGGTCTCGCAAGTACTGATATCACTGAACGGTTTTTTTCCTCCAAAGGCATTAATAAAGAACCAGTATCGCGAGAGGCAATAGAGATAAATGGCGATAAATCAATAGAGCAACAGGTTGCAGGATGCGAGTTTTGTGAAAAAATAGGAGTGATTCGCTTTAAGGCATACAAGAAGTAGTCAGTTAAATATAGAGACGAGAGCATGAAAAACACGCTTCGCTTGCGACATTTATTAACACTCACACGTTAAATAGTTTTGCTATATATTATTGATTACAAAATTATGTTCCCGCGGACGGTGAGGATACTTCAAAGTACGCGAGTACTGGCGGGTTAGTCAGCGCCACACTATGCGCGATTCGTGATTCGCAGAAATTCGTTGGACATTCGTTATTACTTACCACACTATTCGCAGTTTATCATTCGTAATTTGTTATTTGTCCTTTCGTTCGTGTTAACTTGGACAACTTTTAATATTTACCTATTATCACAGGACTTGTATCATAATTCTACAATTAGTCAAGTTTCAATATTAGTTAAAAAACCGCTCGACTAGCGAGTCACTGCGAATCGACGAATTTTTCCTCCACACTATTCGCGAATATACGAATCGCGCAGTGTGGCGCTAGCTTAAGAAGTGTATATATATGGCGTATCGAACGTGCAGGCACAGAAAACAAACGCACGTGGGATTCGTCCGTAAACCACGCGCAGCTGCAACGACATTGTCGCAGTAAGTATGTATACGTCATGCGCGCTCGCGGATATGTTAGGCCGAGTTGCCATCCGCAACTTGGAAAAATTTTATTCCGACTTTCCCTTTCGCTCGGGCGAGCGACGATGTAACGTCGTCGTGCACATTACATCATTGTCAAACATCACAACTGTATTTAAATCTTACGATGAAATTAAGTGTATAGATAATTAGCATTATGTAACGTTATGTACATATAAATGCATATGTATATATTATTTTATTTATTAGCTAAAGATATATATGTATAAGAATCCTGTAAAAATCCTAATAATAATTATGTTTCGAAAATATATTATGTTGGGGCCATTTTTGTACACTTTTAAATATTTAAAATGTAGATATGCTTAGAAGAATTATAAAATAAAAATAAAGTAACATTTTTAAATATTTGTACTTCATTGAAATAAATTAAACAAATAAAATGGCTAATAATCTCATGAGACTGCAAATTGTCTCGTAACGTTAAATATGTATATCTCTCAATGAAATTTAAAATTAAGTTTCTATTAAAGCAAACGGTTAATTCGATAACAAATTTTTATATCTATTTCTTCCAGCTCAATTTTAGCTTTAGTCTTTTCTCCTTCCTTCGTGAACTATAGAAATATCGATATTTGATTATCACTGTACTTACAGTAATCACTTAACAATTCTCGTATATGTACACCTTTGGAAAAGTGTCCGATTATTTGGACACTCGGTACACAATATACGCATTCTGAAGAGTCTCATATATCGATGAGAATAATGTCGTCGTTACCCTTCGGCGCAAATGTGTGCAGGCCCATGAGAAAATGGAGTACGTAAGGAAGGGACATAGAAAGACTCACGTATAAGTAGTAGGGAATAGGACAGGTGGATCCGAAGGGATAGAACCACAGGCCTCTTCTGGTAGCGTCTCGTATGTGGTGGCTCAGAAAGGCGGCCAGTATCACCCAGGACGTGTGTTCCAATAGAGGAGAGTGGAAAGCGTTGGAGAGTGAGATGAAAAGTACCCACAGTACAACGGGGATGGTGGTGCAATGTAGGAAAGGCCGCTTTTGCAAATGCGTGGCATCCTGAAAGAATATAATTACGAGCGTAAGAATAAAAAATAAGGACTGTACGCAGAAGTAAATATATGTATGCAGTAAACAGACGTCAAGAGTCGGCGACATCAGATAATCTCTTTAGACTCCATAAACATCTGCGACTGTTTCCAGTTGCATTAACAACTTTTCTTCAGCACAAATTTTAAGGTAAAAATTGTATAAGTTTATTTCTTTTAATATTATTCAATATTTGCAATTGTAATTAAATTACAATTCGCACACAAGTTTTCTCCATGATTCGATTTGGTAGCATTTGTTTCAGTAATTTTATTATATTAACGATTTACAAAATAAAGATTATTATACTGTGCGTTTCTTTCATTAAAGAACTTATTGTATAGTCAAGCGTAAGATAAAAATTCTAAAATTTCGAATGTGAATAAAATTAAAATTAAAACGAACGAGTGTGAATGAGGAAAACTTTACGCTCGTGTTATCAACCAATTCCGTAAGTACCTATACATTAGAAACCGAAATCGATTCTCTGACTCATAACTCTGATGCGTTCGAACGGGCAAAGATAATCCTCTATTCGTGATAACAAAATCACTATAATCAACGCATGGAAGAGTTCAACTCTTGCGGACTGCAGTGCGTCGACTACAATGCGTGGAGTAATCCTGGAGCAAAGAGCAGGTGTAGGAGTAAGGAAACAAATCAATTTTATTTCTTACTTCTACTTCAGCTCTTACTCTCGGCGAATCGAAACGCCACCGGCCAGTGATACAAATCTTTTAAAAAGTATGCCTGCATTTTAACCTCCTTGCACCAAGAGCTAAAGGTTTTGCTTTTCTCCTTAAACTGAAATCAATTTGAACATTTAGCCTTAAGTCACCTGATTGAAAACTCTGCATCCTAAGTGCCCATCTACAATAGAGATTTAAGGCTTAAGCTCTATTTAGGCCTTGAGCCCTAAGCCTTAAGAAATTGACGGTCAAGTATGAGTAGAATATGCGACTGTGATTAGTCCATTTCTTAAGGCTTAGGACTTAAGACCCGGTTTCACCTATGTCAATTAACTTTAAGCTTAGTTTAATTCGTTCTTCACCTCTTTCCACCTGTTACTTTAGAAAGAGACAAACGCAAATTAAACCAAGATTACAATTAAGCGACGTTTGGCGAAACCGGGCCTAAATCATCTATTGTAGACTGGGACTTATTGGTTCACATAAGCAATCCAGTAGCAAAATATAATAGTATCGTGTGCCATTGACTTTACTCCTTACGCCAGGCTCACTCTGTGCATTGTAGACGACGCATAATAATTGTGGCGTTGACACATTCTCCACGCTTATTGTTATCCCTCAGCCGAGTACCAAGGGGATGCTGGAGTGATTCTGCACTATTGGCACCTTATGCTCCTAGAATTGTCGATTCGTGAAAACGTTTGTGTAACATACAAATTAGGTGGCTTTTGTGTACAGACCGACAGTGCCCCACTATTCAGATTAAGTCAAAGTACAGCGTGGTATAATTGAAATTAAGTTTAGGAGCTTAACAAGAAGGTCACCTAATCTATAACTTGTTCGAGTGAATAGGCTACTTGTTAAGCTCCTAAACTTAATTCCAATGATACCACGCTGTTCTTTGACTTAATCTGAATAGTGAGACACTGTCGGTCTGCGCACAAAAGCCACATAATTTGAATGTTACGCTAATGTTCATGAATTGACAGTTCT